ACAAGCAAATAATTTTCAGTTTATGAGAAGGTAAACTAATCCAACAATCGAGGATGAAAAATAAAGAATACAAGATATACTGACATGTGTGACCTACTCCACACCACATGAGGTGTCTCAGGGATAAGATCTTGTTTCTAAATTTTATAAATAAATTATGTTCAATTGGTGAAATTAAGACTGTTGCATGCTCTTCTTTGGAGGCATTTCCTGGCCTTCAAAATATGAAGTTCTACCATTCATCTTATATTAGAGCTGAATAATCCACCACCATCAAAGCTGGCCCTTACTGGAAAATAAATAAGGGGAAGATTAGGGAAAAGGCCATTACAGACAAAGGAAGAGGTAGACAATTTTCTTAATTATATAATTAAAGTGAAGATGTACATATTGTGGTCAAGATCATTTTAAGGATTACACAAAAAAAAGCCTAGGAAGAGTTTAGTTTCTTTAAATAGAAACTTGACAGAGGGGGCGGGAGTAATAGAAGGTTCTAACAAGAGAAACGCAGAAGGGCTTTTGGGTGAAAATAAACTGTGAATCAACTGCCACCTTCTCACGCTAGAGTATATGAGGAAAAAAAAAAGAAAGAATTAAAGGCTTCAGCCAATAGTTGAAAACATCTTTTTGTTATTTATAATTTAAGGTTGTGTTTTTGAAAGGCAATGACAACTAGTGTTTTGTTCTCATTCAGGGAAAGGGCTCAGGCGCTTCAATGTTCGTTCAATCACTAAGGGGCGACCCCTTTAGGGTGAGTTCTGCATGTGCATATCGATGCTCAAACAACTTATTGTCTCTGAGTGTATATTAGTGGTCAATTTGAAATCTCCTTTTCACAACTGGGTTTCAAGAACTACCTTTTATATTTTGTATATTTACATGAAGTAAGTTTCAGTCTTTGTTATATCTCCACATTAATCACAGTGGAAATCTTTTTCGGGCATGTTCTCTCAAACATTTACATTTTTCTTGGTTGTTTTATTTGGCAAGTGCTTCATGTCAAACTTAAGTGTGGTGTGCATTTTTCAAAAAAAAAAAAAGTGTGGTGCGCATCTGAATTCATTGTTTCTGGGCACAAGCGCCAAGGCTTTTATATTTGTATGTTGTTTTATTTGATGCTTTTTCTACTTTAATTGCATTATATACCAATGGGCTAGTGGAGTCCAAGTGGCTTGTATTCATTGACCACCAAAATTTCGATGCGCACACATTTAAGGCTTGCAGGCTGAATTATCTTTCGATGATTTTTAAGAACCAAACTCTGTTATAATTTTATGTAACTATCTTTTTGGTATCTTAGAACTGTTCGTTTTTGTTAGCGATTAGAAAAAAAGCATGTCCTTAACATATTTTTAGGGTGTGTATTACATGACGTTTTTCTTGTTTTATAAATTCATAAAAACAAGTTGAATAACTCTTCATTTGTAATATTTTGTTCTTCTTTTTTCTCAGGAACCTTACATTCTATTATTGGTTTCTATTACTTTATTTAGACTATTTTCAGCTGAAATAAATGATAATAGGAAGAGAAAAGTGGGACATGAAAAAGAGCTAAGGGCTAAAAGCCTAAAACAGTTGTAAATAATGGAATTCAGGTGAGGTAGAAGACCAGGAAATCTGGAGTTTAAAGAGAGAATGAGAAGTGAATTAAGTTAGATTTTAACTTTCTACTTATTACCCATTGTAATTAGTTGATTCTTACTTTATTTATGTTCCAGCTAGTTAAATGTTGTTTATGCAATCATGATGCTTCTATAACGTTTGAAATCTAAATCCACTTCTTTTCCTCCTAAATGACCTTTCCTCAGGATTTTAATATGAGTATTTTAGCTGCGTATACACGCCCAAGCTCAAAATCTGAAATTGTCAAGGTATAATCCACGCCTTGAACTTGACAGTATTGAATGTTGGTCCTTTAGATGCTAAAATACTTTTTATATCTATTTTCAGGTTAACTTGCTAGCCTCCAGTGACTCTGCTAAAGAATATTCTCGTATGCAGAATGCTTGCCCATCAAATAGTATGGGAGGTTAATCATGTATATCCTGTTATTTTGTGCTCTTATAGGGAACATACAGTTTCAGTTCCATTTCTCTGGCACGTTTAGGTTAGCTCTAGCAAGGGTGCTTGAAAAATTTCAATTATCCATTGTACATTACTTGACTGTGATTTATGAATAGGATTCTATTTGGCTTTAGGGGGTTAATATCTTAGGAGAAGGGGGAGGGGTCACAGCTATGTTTGGAACAAATCTAAAATGTTGTAGACTATATTTAAAAATTTACACTTAATTTAACTGAAAATTATGAAATTTCATTAGAAAATGATAAAAATTGAGCTTATGGAGATTTTTAAGTGAAACTGAAACAACACATTTTAAATTTCATTAATTTTCATTTATCTTTAAATTAAACTAAATTTAATTTTCTAAATGGATTCAACAAAAGTTTGTGATTTGTTACAACCATAGCCTGAATGAATGGATCATTGGTATCTTGATGCTGGAATGGGATTATGGTATCAGCCTGAATGAATCAGAGTTTAGCACTGAGAAGAATGAAACTCCAGGAAGCTATATTGGGCCATTTTTGTTTTCATTGTCTGGGTGGATTGCTCGAATTGCATTCATCTTCATACAAGAGAAGAACTGACCGTCCAGGTACGAGGATCTTCCTGATATCATATCATTTACAAACATCATATTTGAAAACCTATCTCTAGATCTACCGATTCTACTCAAATGCAAACTCTGTGATGCTCTGAAGAGAGACCATGCTTAGATTGAAATAAACAAATGTTCATTTATTCTCTGACATATGTGCTGGAAGGATTATAATCAAATTGCACAACCACTTATGCCTGTTACACACACACACACACACCTCATTATGCTCGGCATAACCTGTCTTGTATCAGTTTCAAAAGGAAACACTGAGAATTCTCCTGTGAAAGCTTTCTTTTTTTCTGCACACCCCTGGAGTTCCAGAGTTGGAGAATTTCTTGTCTGCTCCATGTGCGTAAACAGGTAAATGGCTGGAATTTCTGTTGTAGATGATCATAATAGGCTTTTCATTCGATTGTTTTGTTTTTGCCCTCACTAAATTGGCATATCAAAATTTCGGTTTGGTGGGTGTCAGTTAGTTTATCTTGTTAAATTACAACATGTATCAGAATTTAGAATTGACTGTATGCCTGGTTCAATTCTCACTAATATTATATAGTTCATTTCTACATAGTTGCATGTTTGAACTACTTTTGCTCCATTGTTCTGTAATCTTTAGCTGTGAAATTATCAATTCTAACCAAATCAGTTGAGGGAGAACTGAGATAATCCACCCTAAACTATATATTATAATCTTATGCATCAACCTAATGTAAGAATTTAGTATATGCATTAATCAGAAATGGAATAGGGTTTGAACAAAACAAAACTATCTTCTTAATTTTATATTTATGTTGTGGACTTACTAAATAGAAATTGAATTATGCATTTTGGCAGCTGCCAAAAACGTATCAAACACAAAATATTTTGTGTGGAAGGTTGAAAGGGATAAAGTTAGAATCCCAAGAATGGAGGACCCAAGAAAAGGGTTGTTTCCTAACCAGGTGGGTAGCTGAGAGGCACCATTGGTTGAGCAACTTTAAGGGTGTATTTACAGAGTGGTCCTATCAATCTTGTTGTGCGCCATTATCAAAATAGTATAGGGGCTGGTCCTCTCTTTTATTCATCAACAAATGCATGGAGCCGCAATAGCCACTAAATCACTATCCTAACTTTATACCCAACCAACCAAATATACATGTATATATATATATATATATGTGTATGTATACATATATATATATATCTAAGTGAAGAAATTATTAATTCTAATTTTTAATTAAAAAAATTTAACCATTATATAGTGTTTTTATATTAATTAATAAAAAAATATTTTTTTATCGAATCAAATATAATTTTAAGTTTTAAAATAATTTTAAATTTATAATTTTTAAATAAAATATAAAAACCTTAAACTCTGTACCACTATTTTATTGATTATATATATTAATGTATAAATAATATACTAATTTTTTATTAATTTAATATTTTAAAAGAATATATCCTAACTTTGTTATGAGATTCTATTATCTCCTATCCCTTTAAGCTTTTGTATAATTGATTAAGTCAATTATTTAAATAACAATTATAATATTACTAATAGTTTTTTCACATAATTTTGGTCTTAGTTCAATTTAAATTTTGTCATTTTTATTAATTTTTTTGCCATTGTACATAAAATCATTAGTTTTAAAATTATCTTTTTTTTTTTTTTTTTTTACTTTTCCTTTCTTTATAATTTAATTAGTTTTTAATATTAACATTAGACTAGTAATGTCAATAATACTTTCACTTTCAAAAATAATATTTTTTAATAACTACAAAATTTCAATAAAGTTGGTCCTTATTGTAAGGAGGAAAAAAAGGCATTAAAAAAAAATTCCATACACTAACTATATGTAATGGTTGAATGGCTTAAGAAGCTAATTACATATTTCCTCCTATCCTTTTCATATTGTCATCTTCTTCCACCTCCTTTTTATTCAAGTAGTCTCTTCTTCAAAAAAGAAAATGCCCTACTACTAAAGTGTGAAG